GGTGCTCCGACCCGTGCGGTGCCCTCAGCTTTGTCCAAAAGCCTGGACGACGCCTTCGCCTTGTGGAAGCAGCTCCTGGCGTCGCCGGGCGTCCCGGCCGTGCGCAGCCCCGAGCAGACTGTAGCCTCCCTGCACCTCCTGGCAGCTCTCTACAAACTGATGGCCAAGGTAACACTGCCGGGGAGGTGGCTGGCGGGACGGCAGAGTCCCTCTGCGGTGGTCTCTGAGTGTAACCGTGGGGGTCTTCCTGCCCTCAGCCCTTGCAAGCCATGGAGAGCTACCTCCTGGTCAGAGGCCTGTGCAGTGCGCTCGGGGACAGCCTGGGCACGGCCAGTGCCCTGTGCCAGGTCACCAAGCTGCTCTTCCAGCTGGAGTGCCCCAGCTACGCCCAGGCAAGTCTGGCAGGGAGGGAAGGGGCCGTGGGGTGAGCTCAGCCGATCCCCAGGCCGCAGCCCTCATGCTGGCGTGTTGTTTTCCAGCTTTTCCTGCAGGAGATGGAGTCCTGCCTGCAGAAAGCCGACAGCAGCGAGGATTCCTACCTGCTGCTGCAGCAAACCTGCCTCCTGCTCCGCAGCCAGCTGTGCTGCATCAGCCGCCAGGTAGGGCTCCTAAGATCCCATGTCTGCTTCAGAATTGGTGTCAGAGGGCAGGAGGAGACTGCAGCAGCTCGCTCTGCTGTCTCAGTACCTCTTGCTAGGGACCTTGGGCATGGAGACACCCTGGACCACGAATGGTGACTCCTTTTCTCCCTCTGCAGATTGAAGAGGGTCTCACCCTGTTGCTGGAGGTGCTCCAGAACTCGGCTCTGCAAAAAATCACCAAGGTCTGGTACCTGCTGCGAGCCCATGTCCTTCAGCTGGTGGCCATCTCCCCCAGCCTGCCCCGTGCCCGCCTCTCGCTGGAGCTCCGGCAGCAGATCTTTGTGCGAGGTGAGTTGCCAGGGGATGTTTGAAACCCTGCCGGCGAGCACCAGGCTGACAGGGGTCATGGACAAAGCTCTGGGCAAACAATCGACCTCTGGGTTTCTCCAAACCAGCCCGTTTGGGGTGAGGAGAGGGGAATTTGGGGGAGCCACTCTGTGCTGGGGCCGGGGGGGGGGGCCACCCTCCGGCTGATGGGCAGCAGCTTGCTGGGCTGTCAGACAACGGCATCCGACGCCCAGTTTGTGGATTACGGTGAGCTGGCTGCTCGTGTGGACTGAAACCCAGCGGCTCCTCCAGAGAGAACCGAGCCACTTGCCTGCGTCTCTGGGCGGAGCGGCTCCGGTCACCTTCCTGTCCTCCCTCGCAGGGGACAACCTGCTGCTGAAGTGGCAAGTGCTGGAAAACATGCTGGCCTGCTCGGAGCACCTGGTGGCTCTCCTCAGCAGGCTGGAGGTGGTGTGTAAAGCCAAAGCCTTCTGCTTGGAGGCCGTCAAGCTGGCCATGAAACTGCAAGCCACGCGGTGGTGAGTTGACAGTGGAGGCGGGGAAAGGCTGGCCCTGTGCTTGGGGGATGCTTGGTTGGGGACGAGCTGCCCTGCGGCCAGGGGGGACGTTGGTGTCTGTGTCCCTTGGTGGGGGACTGGCCCTGATGGGGGAGGGTTTGGCACCTTCTCAGCTTGGTCTGGAGCGAGCGGCTGCTCTGGGGTGTGTCAGCCCATGAATTCAGCTTGGCAGGTCGGATGTGAGCTCGTTCCTCACCGCCCGCCTGCCTCCCGCCCGCCCCGCCCTGGGGATGGAGCGAGGGCTGTCGTGGGGAGGCTCTGAGGGCTGTTCGTTCCCCCCGCAAGGTGTACGTCCTTCCTGGTGCTGAAGGCCCAGCTGGAGCTGCAGCAGCGTGAGCTGGAGCTGAGCCACTTTGACCTGCAGCAGGCTCTCTTCCTCTTGGAGTCTGACACCGGTGAGTCCGTGCTCTGGGTTTGGAGGGGACTGGGGAGGCTGAGGTGAGCCCCAAACCTGGGCAGTGCCGGAGACGATCCCTTTTGTGCCTGCTTTTGGGCTGGGGTGAAAGATCTGCCTTGTGCAGTGCTGCTGGAGCAGCTGGCCCCTGTCACCAAGGAGGGTGCAGAGGTGGGGGGGTGACTCTGAGCCAGGTTTTGGCTCATCAAGCGACTCCTCCAGCTGATGAGGGTGTCACTGGGGAAAGCAGAGGCGTTGAGTCTGGCTTCCCGCACCCCTCCTCGTGCTGGCTGTGGTCAGTGGTAGCTGGGAGATGACTGTGCAGGAAGGACATTGAAATAACCCTCCCCTCCGCCCGCAGAGTTTAAAGCCAGCAAGAAGCAGAAAGGCCAGACGAAGATCCTGCCCAGGAAGGGCAAACTCGAGGGCAAGAAGCCACAGGACCCCGTCTCTGAGCCCCCCAGGGAAGAGGAGGGTTTCCTGAAGGGCCCTGCGCTGGAGTTTGTGGCCACGGTGAGCGGGCTGGAGAAGACAGATGCTCTCACCGGCTCACCGGTGCTGAAGCCTGAGAGGAGGAAGAGACTGGCCTTCCTCACCCACCTGGCAGCCTGCCCGTGCCACCTCTGCTCCGACCTGGCCCTCTCGGCGCTCTGCCTGCGCTGGCTCCTCTCCAGTGCCCAGGGCGAGCTGGCAGCAGGCAGCACGGCCGAGGGACTGGCTCTGATCCGTGCCGTGCTGCCACGCTGTGCTGCCGTGGCCACCCGCTTCGCCACCGTGCTGCGAGACAAGCTGTGGGGGGGCTGGGGCG